GGCTTGGAGCAACCTGCGCTAGTGGAAGGTGTCCCTGCCCGGGGCAGGGGCTGGAGCTGGAGGAGCTTTAAGGTCCCTTCAACCCAAACCATTCTGTGGTTCTATGATGACAAGCCAAAGGAGGGATGGCTGCGACAGCAGCTCCTCTCCCTCACAGGGTTTATGAATTAAATGCTGCTGTTCTCTAAGCTTCAGTCTGAAACTGTTGTTACTGATTTCCTGACGCCGTGCAAAGAGAAACACAGAGACCAAAGAGCAGAATTAACATTAATAATTAAAAATGAACTACATTTTTCAATCTCATGTCTACTGTAACTGAGTAACTGCCCAGTGCCGTGAGCAAGAGAACTTCCTTAGTTCACTGATGACGGTGCAACCTTGAATGGCCAAAGTTGATGTTCCAGTTTGGGCATAAAAGACGTTTCTTTGCTTCTCACAACCCCTTGTCCTTAGTCAGTTACATACAAATTTGATTCTTACACCTGTGGCAAATTGAGACATTTTACTTGCAATATTCCTGCCCCACACTGCTCAAGTATCTTCTGTATTGTGGGGTGAGACACAGGCAGAACTAGTTCCAGAGCTGAGGTGTGCATGTTCTATGATTCCTTGAGTCTACGTGTGGATCTCAACCAGAGTCCTTCTGGTTTCAACTCTTAACCTGAAACTCCTTAATTGTTCTCACCAGGAAATAAAGTCAAACAAAAACATAAAAAGGGGAGAAAATACCAATCTTGCACTGTATAGTCTGCTAATAATATAGATTGATCACTTCTTTGTTGTCATGTTATATGACATAGAAACATACAAGAGCAAAATGTCTGATCCAAGAGGAAAAATGTTACTTCAATGACCTCTTTTAACTTGTTTTTCCTTCTTTTAACAGAGCATTCAGAAACTGGCCAGCCAATACTTGAAGAAGGACTGGCTTGGAATAAAGGCTGATGAGAGAAGCGATTATAGGTAATTTCACAGTTGGAGATCTTGAAATTACTCTCTTTATGATTTCCATTTGTGTAATTATTTTACTTACCCATGTAACAGTGCTCTGCTGTAGCTAAAGTGATTTTTTTCTTTGTGGTAGAGTGGTGCCAGTTAAACATGAAGCTGTGTTTTCCCCTGAGACACTGAGATTAGGCTTAAATTGATGTTTGTTACTTGAATAAAACCATGTTGGACACAGGGGCTTGGAGCAACCTGCTCTAGTGGAAGGTGTCCCTGCCCGGGGCAGGGGTTGGAGCTGGAGGAGCTTTAAGGTTCTTTCAGCCCAAACTGGTCTATGAATAATTCAGGAAGATTGGAGTAGCAGAATGGCACCACAGGACAACTGTATTTGTGCTTCCTGATGTGTATTAAAGCTTATACCTGAATATAGTGGTGGCTCAGTGCCAGGGGTTAGTGGCCTTGGCAGTGCTGGGGAATGGTTGGACTGGATGAACTTAAAGGTCGTTTCCAACCTGGTTGATTCTGTGATTCTATTCTCTGGTTCTCTAACTCTATAGTTAGAGTGGTAGGTGTGGGGATTTCTTCATAGAAGACAGCAAGACATTTCTCTTTAGGAGACCTTTCTTCATGCAGATCCCATCTGACAGCAAGGAGGAGGCAGAACAAGAACCAGTTGTTTACAAAACTTAGTTCCGTTCACATGAAAGGTGGATCAGAAAATGAAAGCAGAAGTGACTCAGTTGCTGAAGGCCTCCCCTCTTTGAACAGGACCTCCTAAATACTTAAGAAGCTCGATTTTAGTGTGTCTTTTATATTATTATGACAAGTTTTATTTCAAACAGGAAGAAATTGTTGATGGCGTTTATGCTTCGGACTTTAAGTACCTTCACACCACTTGTGTGTGTAAGAAGTAAACTGAATTATCAGTCTGAAGTGTGTATAAAATGCTCCCATACCACACAGACCCCTCCTACCTGCACTTTGCTCCTCACTCACAACCCTTTCATGCCATCAGATACGCCCATAGTGCCCAGAGGTCTTCCAAATACCTGCCACCCCCGTGCTCCTCATCGTCCGGTGCTTGGGCTCTGTCAGCTCCACCAACCTCTCCTTTCTGCCAGCCATGGGGAGATCTCGTCACCTTCTTTCCCAGCCCTCCCTGCTCCACCTTCTCCTTGGGCACTTCTGACCATTAGTGGAGGGTTAGTGGGACCATGCAAAGCTCACTACACAGCTGTGGGTGTTATCTTTGGCCTGTTACACGTGATGAAGGAATTACAGGCAGCCAAGATAGAATGGGTGAGCGGTCTGTAACTGTTGGCTTAGTGGCAAGATGCCCAAATCACAAAATCCATGTTCTTACAGAGGATTGTTAACGTCAGATCTGCTTTGCCTGCTGGGGTCTGTAGGTTCTGTTCACTGGAGCAACAGCTTCAACCAAAATCATAGAATCATTGAATGGTTTGTGTTGGAAAGGACCTTAAAGCTCCTCCAGTCCCAACCCTCTGCCACAGGCAGGGACACCTTCCACTAGAGCAGGTTGCTCCAAGCCCCTGTGTCCAACCTGCCCTTGAACACTGCCAGGGATGGGGCAGCCACAGCTTCTCTGGGCACCCTGTGCCCGCGCCTCAGCACCCTCACCCTATGCTTAGTGTAATCCTTCCCCTCTCCTTCCCTCCTCTTCCCTTCCCTCCTTCTTTCCCACAACCGTTCTGTGTTGCCTTGTTTCAGGAGCATGTACTCCGTATGGAAGTCCCTTTTAGAAGGCACGATGCAGGTGGCTCAATCCCGCCTCAATATCTGTGAGAACTATAAGAACCTGATTTCGGAGCCAGCCCGGACTGTGCGGTGCTTTAAGGAGCAGCAGTTGAAGAAGGTATTTGTGCTTTAACAACTCCTCTCGACCCCTGGCATTGCGACTTGGTTATTGGCAATCTTTTCCTCTGGCACTTCTATAATCTGTACTTCCAGTCTTTTCCTGTGCATGGTGTTACAGAAGGAAATATCCAGCTTGTCCAAGAGGGCTCACAATTCAGAGCAGAGATTAAAATTGCTTGGAAATGAGTCCTTTCCAATGAGATACACCCTGGATCAAAACTGTCTCTGCAGATCTAACATCCTGCTGGGGCAGTTGCATTGAATTGGGGTTTGCAGTGACAGGTTCAAGTGGGTTTTGTTAGGGTGGGTTCTGATTTTAAGGAGAGGTGTGGCTTAAACCTGAAGGAGTAACTGGTGCAGTCACAGAGTCATAGAACTGGAGGTGTTCTGGATCTTCTAACGTGGGCAGCCCCTCTTTCAGATAGCAGTTGACTGCCAAGTCTTTGCTATATGAGCTTCCATCATCCAAAACTCAATCATGCAACTTGTTAACACTTGTACACCAAATATATTTTGCAATAGGGAACCCCACTTTTCCATGAATTCCTTTGTTTGTAAAGAAAATTGCAACAGAATTAAGTGCAGAGCAGCAGAGTTTTATCCTGTGCTTTTTGTGGGATGGTGACTAAAGATTCTTAGGAAAAAAGGGAACTTGTTGGTTATTCTCAATCCTAGAATTTGATTCCGTTTTCCTGCCTCTTAAAAAACACTCACTTCATGTTGGTACGTCTCTTTTTTCTTCTTATAAATAGGCAAGAAACCTTTTTAGTGCTGTTCCTGTCACAAGTAATGGTCCAAAGTTGTACCATATTTGAATTCTACTATTAGACATTAGATCTGTAAGCTGCTTTCCTAAGAAATTCTTTAGCTAAATATACACATGGAATTGCATGACTTGTCCATTGCATCAGGAAATAGGCCAAAGCTTTCCAAAATGCACATTACAAGCTGAGGATGTCATACAGAGCACAAGTGTGATGACGAAGGGCTGAGGGACCTGGGGGGTTTAGTGTGGAGAAGAGAAGGCTCAGGGGGGACCTGATCGCTCTCTGCAAGTGCCTGACAGGAGGATGGAGCCAGGAGGGGGCTGGTCTCTGCTCCCAAGGAACAAGGGATGGCACAAGAGGAAATGGCCTCAAGCTGCCCCAGGGCAGGTTTAGCTGGAGCTGAGGAACAATTCCTTGCCCAGAGGGTGCTCAGGCATTGGAACAGGCTGCCCAGGGCAGGGCTGGAGTCACCGTCCCTGCAAGTGTTCACAGCCCGTGGAGCCGAGGCCTCAGTGCCAGGGGTTAGTGGTGGCCTTGGCAGGGCTGGGAATGGTTGGACTGGATGATCCCACTTCTTGGGAATCACTTCTTTAAATCTATATAAATGATAGAAATTCCTTTTTTCCCCTAGATTTTTAAATTAGCAGAACAAGCTGTTACGGTTACCAGGACAGTACTTGTGCTTCAGAGTATTCTAACAGTGATAACAGTTTTCCTACAACATGGAATAACCATCCACTTGATGGTATTCATTTTCCTCCACAATAAATGTATTGTTTTACCTACTGCAGTCTAAATTTCACCTTTCCTCACCCTTTCCTTTGGATTTCCAAAGGAATAAATAATACATTATGCTTGACCTCCATCCAGACAAAAGCTTATCAGAACTGCAATGCTGAGTCAGTCAAATACCTGTCACATTACACTGGAATGCCCATCCAAAATCCAGTTCCTATTAGAAGCAGTGTCTCCTTCCAAGGTTGCAGCAGGTATTGAGTTGCTCTCGATGAGATCCCATCTTCATTTTGCAGATGTTTCTGTAAACCTTTACATCCTCCACTCAGTAGGATACAGAAACTTCATTTTATCACCCCTTTTAATAGTAAACTGGAACCATTTCAGAAAACCTCATCCTAAGTGGCTGAAAACCATGGATAAATCACAGGGTGGCTCTGGAGCAGGGCTATAAACGTGTCTCCTGTGGACCGCGTCTGGCCTTGTAAGAAAACTGATCCCCTGCTCTCAGAGGACACAAACAAGAGGCTGTTTGGAGGGCAGTGAGCCCACCCTCTGCCATTATCTTCCCCTGGAGACCTTGTCAGCTTACCCCATAAGTGATGTGTAGTTTCAGATGTTGGCCTTAGAATATGTTCTGTTCATCAGGTATCTGTAGGTAAGATGAGGTGGCCACCACTAAAGACATTTGGATGGGTCTCTATCAGAAGACTGAAGGCACATAGAATAAAATCGCTCTGTGTGGAGGGAATGCAACAAGAAGCAGCTTTCTAGTGTCTACCCAGCCCCAACCCCCTGAACACCATCCAGTCTCCTGACACCATCTTCAGACATGCAACAGCCAAGATGATTTGATGCTTTTAAAATGATCATGTTAACAACTGGCGTTATTTGATACTTTAGTTTCTTGATGCCAGCAGGAGACCTCAGGGATCAAAATGCCAACTAATGCAGCAAAACCCCCTCCTTTTGCAGTGATTTTAGGTCTCTGTCAGCTCTCCAACATACACAGATCTTTCTACCTTTCATTGCTCTGTCATACACTTGGAGGTCTTTAGAAACCCCCCCACCATTCCCCAAACCTCCCACAATGGAGTTACCTCGTGGAGCCTGTTGCTTTATTGGTCTGCACACATCAAACACTGGGTTTAGTGTGAACCTACATGAATTTTTATGGACTTTATAGCCAGAAAGGAATGTTCATTTTGACTGAGAGCAGAATTGTGTGGTGAGAAGATGAGTGATTTCTATTAACTCAAACAAAAAGCTGCTTTTTTATGGGCTGGATACTGTTATTAACAATTGTTGAATGCTGTGAAATTGAGGTGATGTTGTTGGGTTACATCACCTTATTCTTCTCAAAGTGCTTGTAGAAGAGGTTACATGCATTGATAATTAATGCAATGAAAAACCTGAGGTGCTGAGGAGGGGTGTGCAGTAAGAGGACAACGTGGGGCTCCTTGAATGGGAGAGTCACAGAATCATAGAATCCCAGGTTGAAGGGACCTCAGGGATCATCTGCTCCCCCCTTTCCAGGCACAGCATGACCCAGACTGGGTGCCCAGCACCCTGTGCAGCCCAGTCTTAACAGTGTCCAACGCTGGGGAGTCACCACTTCCCTGGGGAGATTATTCCAATGGCTGCTTGTTCTCATTGGGAAACATTCCCTCTTGTGTCCAGTGAGAATCTCCCCAGGAGGAACTTGTGCCCATCACCCCTCGGCTTTGCCATGGGACTCCTTGTCCAAAGGGAGTCTCCATCTCCTCTGCAGCCCCCCTTTAACTCCTGGCACATGGGATCAGGTCTCCCTGAGCCTGCTCTTCTCCAGCTGAACAGTCCCAGCTCTCTCAGCCTTTCCTCACACGCTGCCCAGCCCTTGGACCATCTTTGTGGCCCTTCTCTGGCCCCTCTCCAGCCCATCCACAGCTTTGCTGTGCAGTAGGACCCAAACTGAGCCCATATTCCAGGGGTGGCCTGACCCAGGCCGAGCACAGTGGGACAATGACACCTTTATCCCTGTGGTGATGCCCTTGTTGATGTTCCCCAGCACCCTGTTGGGTTTCTTTGCTCAGCTGCTCCCTGGTCACTCCTATGGAGCTGGTGTCCCACAGGATCCCCAGGTCCCTTTCCATAGCATCAGGTATGTGATAATGATGTGAAAAGATCTTTGAAGGACAGAAAGGCAACTTGAAAGACAAATTGCTCTCCTTCAGCTAGCTTGAGGCTCTGCCTGTGAGTGTTGCCTGGAGCCTTCATTGACCACATCCAGTCTGTACTATCTATAATTAAGTATAAGTGCATTGAACTATCACTCTTACATGTACTTAAGGTAGTTTGGGTACAAGAAAATCTTTACAGATCTCTTTTAAACATAGTATATTCTGAGACATTGATAATTCACATTTGCTGATCCTTTCTGCTTACCATGGATCCTTTCCCAAATACATACTTTAAAGCTGATCGGAATCAGCTCAGCAATCACTAAAACATCCCTGGGTTATTGACATAGTTTTGGTTCCAAATCTAAACCACAGCCCTGTACCAGCTACTGCACTGAAAATTCACACTCCCCCAGTCAAAACCAGTACAGTATCTTTTCTGCTATTCCTTTGGTTATTGGATTTTGTCATTAAAATGTGTCTTGTAACATTGCTTGGGTTGGATGGAAAAAGGTGGGAGCTACTTTTCCTCCTTCACTCACTCATTCTGCATTTTAAGCCTCTAAGTTTCCATTGTGAATGACACTGATTTCTGATACATCCCTATTTGTTGGAAACCCCTCAAAAAAGAGAAAATCAAGCTCTTAAAGTAACGTTTCACATTATTCTTGTTGCTCTGGTGTGTTTTATGTGGCAGCTTTTGTCTTACACTTCAGCTTGAGGAGAAGGAAGGATTAACCATTTTCTTTATCACCTCCGGTAGCTCGCCATTGGATTTTCCTCAATTACATTCCACTTATTTCAACTAATTGCCTCATCCAAAGCTTTCACAAGCTTAATATTTCACTTGTGAGTTATCATTGAAATTCAATAGCTAAAGAGCAGCACAAAGAAAGAAACATGGGTTTATGCACTGATCAGCTTTAAAAAAGACATGAATAATTGACCAGGAGTGACTCGGAGACCGCGTCGTGCCATATAAAGTGTAATCAAGAGCAGTAAAAGGATGATGATGGCATGATTTGGATGCAAAAAGCCATTAATGCTTTGTTTCCTGCCTGCTTTTTTCCAGTGTGTGGACCAGTTGACGAGGATCCAGGCTGAGTTACAGGAGACAGTAAAAGATTTAGCTAAAGGCAAGAAGAAATATTTTGAGACGGAGCAGATGGCTCAAGCGGTGCGGGAGAAAGCAGATATTGAGGCCAAGTATGTTTTCCTAATAGCATATGCATAAATAATTGCTTGCCTATCAAGCAGATTGGGACTTGTATTAGTTTTGGAAGATAATTGCTTTCAATGAGCTTGGGCCAGGTTTTATTCTTTCTGCTTATATATATTTCTGTAACCATTCCATAGAATCACAGAACCCCAGGTTAGAAGGACCTCAAGTATCATCTGCTCCAACCTTTGCTGGCAAAGCGTGACCTACACTAGATATCCCAGCACCCTGTCCAGCCCAGTCTTAACAGTGTCCAACACTGGGGAGTCCAACACTTCCCCAGGGAGATTATTCCAATGGCTGCTTGTTCTCACTGGGAAAAATTTCCCTTTTGAGTCCAGTGGGAATCTCCCCAGGAGTAACTTGTGCTCATCACCCCTTGGCTTTTCCATGTGTCTCCTTGTAACAAGGGAGTCTCATATTCTTTGTAGCCACCCCTTAAATACTGGAACGTAGAGTCATAGAATGGTCTGTGGTCCTTAGAAAGGACCTTAAAGCTCTAGTTCCAACCCCCTGCCCCGGGCAGGGACACCTTCCACTAGAGCAGGTTGCTCCAAGCCCCTGTGTCCAACCTGGCCTTGAACACTGCCAGGGATGGGGCAGCCACAGCTTCTCTGGGCACCCTGTGCCAGCGCCTCAGCACCCTCACAGGGAAGAGCTTCTGCCTTAGATCCAACCTGAACTTCCCCTGTTCCAGTTTGAACCCATCACCCCTTGTCCTGTCACTCCAGTCCCTGATGAAGGTCCCTCCCCAGCATCCTTGTAGCCCCCTTCAGACACTGAAGCTGCTCTGAGGTCTCCAGCATCTTCTCTTCTCCAGGCTCAACAGCCCCAATGTTCTCAGCCTGGTTCCATACGGGAGATGCTCCAGCCCCTGAGCATCCTCGTGGCCTCCTCTGGACTTGCTCCAACAGCTCCATGTCTTTATGTTGAGGACACCAGAACTGCACCCTGTCCTGCAAGTGGGGTCTCACAAGAGCAGAGTAGAGGGGCTGGATTTGCTCTATTAGTGTAGTCCTACGTACTTTGCTCCACTTAAAACTATACAAATAAAAAAGAAGGCTTATAAAGTTACTTAAATTAATATTTTAATTAATAAACAGTGGCCTGTTTCTCCTGTACTCCTGTACTACGCAAGACAGTAATGTCTTCTTTTCATTTCTGTTTCAGGTCCAAACTTAGTCTTTTTCAGTCAAGAATAAGCTTGCAGAAGGCAAGTGTAAAGGTGAGTATATGATAAGCTTTGGTTTTGCTGCTGTTTTCATGAGGCAAGGGACCAGAGTTGTCTTGCATCTTAGATGAGTGACAGTTTGGAAGGTATATCTATAGACCAGGTGATGAGAGAAGACACTTTAAGCAGTCAGAAGGCAGAATTGTGTATGTCCATAAGGACTTTTTTCCTAGTGGAAGTTGTAACTGTTCTTTAAAGACCACATGTGAAATTACAACTGCATGAGAGAAAAATACATTAGAAATCCCATAACCATTAACAAAGCTGTTAAACTATTAATTCCATAAAGCTTTGACTATATCAATACATACATATGCATGTTAATTCACTAGTAATACATGTTTACTCATTTAACTTCTCATTAATACCTATCTTTTAACTTCCACTTCTTGTTGTAGTTAAAAGCACGGCGATCCGAGTGTAATTCCAAGGCAATCCATGCAAGGAATGATTATCTTCTCACTTTAGCAGCTGCTAATGCACACCAAGATCGCTATTATCAAACAGACCTAGTAAACATTATGAAGGTAAGGAAGCTAATTTTATGTATGGGAGTAGGGGAATGTGAAAATACAGGAAACAAAATGGGTATGGAAGTATAATATGGAAGTACAAACTCTTGGGTTGCTGTGTTGAGTTTTCCAGTATGCTGGAATAGATGAATGCAGCAGAAGATGGATCCTCCAGCAGAGTGCAGGGTACTTGGTACCTGCTTTCAAACCCAAACCTAAGCACTCACCTTTATATTTAATACCTGAAAACTCACTTGGATAAAGGAATCAGGTTTGTACAACTAAGACCTGTGTTTGCCTATTGTAGTTGATCTCAAGTAAGCTGGGAATGGTTTAGTTCTTCAATAACATATCCCATAACCCTTTTTTATGTCTACATATCAGATGAGAACATTTCTTTATGGCGTGATTAATAAAAATACAATCATCATATCTTGGTTTCAAACCATGAATTGTAGAGAGTAGGACCAAGTCAAGCCCAGAGTAGGTACTTACCACTCTTGGTAAGTGACTTATCAAGAGTAGATAAGTCACTTCCAACTTGTAGGAAATGACATATTTAAAAAGCTCAAATATGATTGCTCACGCTTTCTTTTTTTAATAGCATCCTAAAATTACTTAAATGTACATGTCTTAAAATGAGATAGTTACAGAAAACCTGTAAAATCTACAAAATCAGCTCTTTAAAGCCAGTTCACCCTCTCTGTAGTTGCACTTCAGACCTTGCCATTTGCAGAGCTGATTTAAATTTGCTCTCTGCACACTATTTCCAGGTGATGCAATCATGCATAGCACCTTCAAAGCCTGTAATTTGCATTTCATATTGCTTTAGTGAGCAACTATCAGTGTATTTTAACAAATCCCTGTATTATCAGCATCCTTTTGCATCCTGGGGCGGGGGGGGGAAATGGTGGTATGAAAAGCAGGTAACTGAAGGAGAAAACGAGAGCACCAAGAAAGAGCCTCCAGGGGACTTTTATATGTAATTCCATTATATCTTGCCTGATTTAACCACTCCTCCAGCAATACCACCTAGAGTAAATCCCAGCCTGGTTTAGAAATTCATTGCTAGGCCTAATATCTGACTTCTTAGAAGGCTAAATCACACCTGGGTATCACAGAGGTGATGCAGGGCTGATAGTCCTTGAGGCATCACCCTCTCTTTGCTCTGTGTGTATGTGTGGTTGTGCTTTTCTCTTAGTAAACAATGAATATTTGTCCTGACTAAATGTTTAGTGCATGGAGATGGTCATAAAGTAAGTATTTCCTTATTGTCCTGAAGATAAAGTTATTCACTGATGCCTACATAAGATAATTCCAGACTTACATGCATGGTTGGTTGTCATCCCTTTATGCTCTCACTTGGAAGTAATGCCAGAAGTGGATTTAATATTTTCACAACAAAACAAGCAAAAAGGACATTTGGAATAATAAAACCCTGAGAAGATAGCTTGGGTAAAGTCATGACAGGCTCTGGGGGGTTATGGGTTATGGCTGCTCTCATCTCAGGGCATTGCAGCATCATCCCTGCAAAGGGATTCTTGTTTCCTTTCTCTGTGCCTGTATTACAAACCAAGTGTGTAGTAAACTGGGTGGGATCTTCATCTCTTTGAGTTTCCATAAACATTCATGTCTTTTGGATGCTGTGGGCCTTCTGTAGTGTGACGTTAGAAACCTGCCGATACCCCAGGAATGTAGGTTTTCAATAAGTTGCAGTAAAACATCAGACTAAAAATGGTTTAATCATTCTTTAAAGACTGAAAAATGCAGTAATGGAAAACCAAGTCCTGCTGGTGCCATTCAAACTGAACCTTTCCTTACTTCCTAAGGAAACCTCTCTGTGCGACCTGTTCTACATAAATAATCGTGGTTTAGTGGAAAGCAAAGTTGCAAGTGTTTTCCTTGAGCCAAACTGCTATAGAAGGACAATGTTCAGGGGTCTTTTTCTATATCTCTCTCAGATGCTTGAGTGTCATGTCCTGAAACTGGGCTCCAGCTGCATTCAGCCAAGAGCTCTCATGGAAATTCAGCTGTAAAACTGCTTAAATGTAAACAGAAGTGTGTAATCTGGTGCTAAAACCCACCTCTGTGTGTCCCAGCCTTTGAAAAGGGCTTCAGGAGGGCCCTGGGATTTACACCTGAAGAATGTCCCTCCCAGGCTGATAAGACAAGTGCAGTGATGAATGGAGTCAATTCACACATAGACAGATATGATGTGGTGGGAACAATCAACGTGATTTTCTTTTAAAGAGGGAAAATGTCCTTCAAAAAGAGAGGGACAAGGGTGATTCATCTGGTTTAATATCTCGGATTTGCTGGGAGGTCTCAACAAACTTCCCACTCAGTTTCTGCTTACATAAAAGGAAGACGTGGAAGGTGGGGTTGTGAGGGTTTTCTCATAGGTTAATAACTGATGAAGAGATACAGAAGATGTGGGATTACAGTAAATACTGGGGGTTTATAAGGGAAGGAGATTTGCTGGCAAAGTCCTGCTTTCTCTCTTACCTGTCTCCTCCTCCTGAAATGCATGTGGGAATTGTGCTGCTTAAAGCACTGAGAGAGGAATTATGTTATTTACCGTAATGATTTAACATAAGCAATATGGAGAAGGAACTGAAGAGAGAGGTGATGATTTGAACGTGGTGAGTCACAGAATCATAGAGTCACAGACTGGTTTGGGTTGAAGGGACCTCAAAGCTTCTCCAGCTCCAACCCCTGCCCCGGGCAGGGACACCTTCCACTAGAGCAGGTTGCTCCAAGCCCCTGTGTCCAACCTGGCCTTGAACACTGCCAGGGATGGGGCAGCCACAGCTTCTCTGGGCACCCTGTGCCAGCGCCTCAGCACCCTCCCAGGGAAGAGCTTCTGCCTCAGAGCTCATCTCAATCTCCCCTCTGGCAGGTTCAAGCCATTCCCCTTGTCCTGTCCCTCCATCCCTTGTCCAAAGCCCCTCTCCAGGTTTCCTGGAGCCCCTTTAGGCCCTGGAGCTGCTCTAAGGTGTCCCCTTCAGGAGCCTTCTCTTCTCCAGCTGCCCCAGCCCAGCTCTCTCAGCCTGGCTCCAGAGCAGAGCTGCTCCAGCCCTCGCAGCAGCTCCGGGGCCTCCTCTGACCTCGCTCCGGTAGCTCCACGTCCCTCTTGTGCTGTTCCCCAGAGCTGGATCAGGACTCAGGGGGGTCTCCCCAGAGCAGAGCAGAGGGGCAGGATCCCCTCCCTGAGCTGCTGCTCACACTCTGGGTCATTCAGTGTTATTCAGTGTAACTGGATGTAAAGGTTATGAGCAAGAGATGTTATAAGTTCTCAACAAGTGGTGACCTGGCAAGAAAACAGCACATGAAATTAATGTTAGGAGGAGAAAAGCAGTGAGCTGGGGAGGAAATTGCTGCCCACAGAACAAGGACTCTGAACACCCTTTACCATTATGAAGGAGTTGGTAGCCCTGGAAAATGGACCAAAGCATAGGGAAATGGAGGCTTTGTCTGTTAAATGTTTCCAATCCTTCCTCTAGGCAGCATCACTGGGAAGGGAGGTGTTTTGGAAGGGGTTTAAGCCTGTTCTGGGCAGCACAATTCTTGGTTTAGTGCCTTGAGTGGTGATGACCTCATATATGCTGTAATACAGTTGTATCTAAGATAAACATGTTCCTTTATGCAGTGAGATTAACATTCTAAAAATGCACCTTTGATCTTCACATGAGTAAGTCCTCAGGTATTCCTGTAGTAGAGGCCACCTTGCTATCTCTAAGGATTTCTCCATTTAGCTGCCATGGAGCTGATACATCTTCTTCTGTTTGAGCTCTTCAGGGCTCTCCACATTTCTAATTCCTATCAAGTGTTTCCATAAACTCCTCAGATTTTGTCTTTCTTCCAGCCCCTTTGGAGTTGTTGCCTTATTGCAGATCCTCGACTGCTTCTGTTGGTTCTCCTTGAGTGGGGCTCTCAGACAGAGCTAAGCATTCCTCAGAAATTCCCTTCTCATACCAGCTCTGCCCCATGTAAAGCAAACTGGAGAAGTGACTTCTGTGAGGAGCAAGTTGGGATTGTTGAGTGGAATCAGCAGCTTCTCAGACATTGTGAGTTAGTTAGTTAGTGTCTCCTCTTTCGGGATGAGTTCTGGGAACTGGTGGTTAGCTCCACTCTGTAGACAGTGTGAGGCTGACATAACCACAGCATCTCCACAGCAAGATGAAGCTCTGGGTCCAGTTTCATTTTCAGTTCAGTTTGTGTGAAATGAGGTGCATTACCTCAACCTTCAGAGCAGGAAAACTGGTTTGTATGTGGCAAATATCTAAATTTTAAATGATTTTCAGGCTGGTTTTCAGGTATTCAGTAACCTGCAGATAAAGCCTTTATCCAGATGATACTTCACAAGGTTGCTTGTTTAATATAGTCACCTTCAGAGTGGGAAAGCAAACTCTGCCACCTCCTGCCTTCAGAATCTCCCTACTTCTCAGCTTAAGTATCAGTTTTAGCATAAAGCTGTTAGAAATCATGTGGAAAGTGGGAAACAAAGTCATTCTGTTCTGCTTTTGAAGACAGATCTTCTGTCCTTTGTCTAGAGCAGTTGTTTAAATGGCATTTAGGTGTGAAACGATGGCTGGTTGGTTGATACTGCTCCTTTGGAGCCATCAGTGTGGATATCACTGAAGGGTCAAAGCTTTCTGTGTTTATTGGGGGTGTTCTCAGGGGTTGCTGTTGGGACTGATCCTGTTCAACATCTTTGTTGGTGACATGGGCAGTGGGATCCAGCACCCTCAGCACATTTGCTGGTGACCCGGAGCTGTGTGGAGCAGTGACACGCTGGAGGGAAGGGATGGGATCCAGAGGGACCTGGACAGGCTGGAGAGGTGGGACTTGAGAGGTGCCAGGGCAAACCTCATCAAGTTAAACAGGGCCAAGGGCAAGGTCCTGCCCCTGGGTTGGGGCAATCCCAGCACAAACCCAGGCTGGGGGAGACTGGATGGAGCAGCCTGAGGAGAAGGACTTGGGGTGTTGGGTGAGGAGAAGCTCCCCATGACCCG